AAATTTTGGTTAAAGCTTTTTTGTAAAGTCAAATATCTCAATTATTGCTTGAGATATTCAATTGAAATTTACAATACTTTTTTATAGTAACAATGTACATCATTTTGCAAAATTGCATAACTCTGTCTGCAATATTTGCAGAATTATTTGCCCCTTTGAAACTTAGAAATTTTGGTTAAAGGTTAAAGGTCTTCAAAGATATTTACTTGAAACTTTACACATGTACTTAGGGTCATAATTTGAGGGTCATAACTGTATGTCACTGACCAAGTTCCATAACTTTATCTTGTATTAAGGCTGATTCATATCCCCTTTTCTACTGTCTCTTGGTTAATGTTTACATGCAAGTTTTACATATCTCAATAACTATTAAAGATATTTATTTAAAACTTCACATATGCATTTAGGGTCAGAATTGTAGGTCACTGACAAAGATCCATAATTCTATCTTGCATTTAGGCTGATTTTTCTTCCCTTTTTCAACTTAGAAATTCATGGTAAAGTTTTGCTTGTAAGCTGTTATCTCCATAACTACTGAAAGGTTTGTGCCTTTTTATGCCCCCACAGAGTGGGAGCATATAGCGTTGCACTTGTCCGTCCGTCCGTCACGCCGTACGTCCGTCCGTCCGTCTGTCCGTCCGTCCCGAAATCTTGTGAACGCAACTCCTCTTAAACCGTATGGCAGATTTTGCTTAAACTTTCAGGGATGAACAACCTTAATATGTAGATGGTATTAAAGGAAGGAATTTTCGCTGCGACCAAATTTAACAGAATTATGGCCCTTTGTTGATTTTTTCACCATATACTATGTAGAAATTTTGTGAACGCAACTCCTCTTAAACCAGATGGCAGATTTTGCTTAATCTTCCAGGGATGAACAACCTTAATGTGTAGATGGTAGTAAAGGAAGGAATTTTTGCTGTGACCAAATTTAACAGAATTATGGCCCTTTGTTGATTTTTTCACTATATACCATATAGAAATTTTGTGAACGCAAATCCTCTTAAACCGGATGGCAGATTTTGCTTAAACTTTCAGGGATGAACAACCTTAATGTGTAAATGGTAGTAAAGGAAGGAATTTTTGCTGCGACCAAATTTAACAGAATTATGGCCCTTTGTTGATTTTTTCACTATAATTATACCATATAGAAATTTTGTGAACGCAACTGACCTCTTAAACCGGATGGTAGATTTTGCTTAAATTTCCAGGGATGAACAACCTTAATGTGTAGATGGTAGTTAAGGAAGGAATTTTTGCTGCGACCAAATTTAACAGAATTATGGCCCTTTGTTGATTTTTTCACTATATACCATATATATGTTGTCAGTGGGGGCATCCGTGTCCTTTGGACACAGTTCTAGTTTTGGGACAATTTTATGCATAAGCAGTGATTTACTTAATAACAAGCCTTTGTACCTTTTCTGTCAATTTTATGTATGCATAGGTAATTAGTATTATTATACTCAATAAAACACCCTTGTGACATTACCTTCCAAATAGTCAAGCCAATACTGTATAATTAGACTCTTTCTAAGGCCTATAACATGAATTTATAAAAAAAAATTAGTCCTTTTGTGAACTTAGAAAATTTAACATTATCAAGGCTGAGGCTTTACTATCAAGCACTTAAAATAGTCGAGTGTGCTGTCCTACCGACAGCTCTTGTTTAATCTTGATATCTATTTGCAGTAGTAAAGCTGTCACAATTGGGGTATGGATGTACATTTCAATTTGCATATCAGGAAAAGCATGTTCTCAAGAAATTTTTAGGATCTTAGGGTCTATATGACACCATTCTAGTGAAAGCTTACTGAAAAGTTATCAGAGATAATGTTTTTCCTTGTTTAAGTGACTGTTACTTTACTGATGTATAACCTTCCAATAAAGAATTGTATGGTAAAATATACATGTACATACTAAAATTATAGCTTTTGAAGTGCAGTATATATTATGACTTCAAGATATTGAAACAGTTGTCCAACTTAATATCCATTTTAGCAGACTGACAAAAAACTGAGTCTGTAAATTAATTATTTTTAGAAAATTATTGCGATTTGTAACTGGCTAAATAAAGGATTAGTGGAAAACACACATTTCACATATTTTGAACTAAAATGCTAGCATTTTCTTTTTTATCGCCATAATTGACATTGCTGCTAATAAATGTAGTCAAGGTGAATGCAAGATGTGCTTACAGTTTGGTTACATGACAAATAAGGTCAAAAATAAAAAAAATTCTAGGGATGATTGAAAAGTGGTTGTGATTGAAAACTGGCAGTATGTGGATAGTACACTCCCAGATTGCAGAGGTAGACCTGTTCACAGTACAGGAACTTGAAATTCTATCAATATTAACTAGCTTAAGGTCTTCAGCGTACCCGTATATATACTATGACATGACGTGAACGCTGAAGATAACCCCAGATGGAAAGTCCACCAATAATCGTGCCAGGAATCTGACACGCTCGTATTCATTCATCGAACATGCCATGAAGTAAAGTGAAGCATACCTTGATAAAGCTATATATAATCTGTTGATAAGCCAAGGATGGACAAATAAAAATCTTATTATGAACATAAACTACCTAATAGTTTCCGACAGGTAAAAAATTCGGCAATTGGCCGCAATATTGCCAAAATGATTGACCTTTATGAACCCATGTGCTTCCAATATTTTTATAAATTACTTTTTTTAAAGATATTGAAAAGGGTGATTTACTGACTTTTGTATTCAATAATATAATATTTAAGTAGCCTACTAAAAAAATAATGAAAATAAATAAAAACATTATCTTGAATAAAAATATCGAAATCATGTCAACAAAGATGTTCTAAATTTAGTACACGACTCTATTCTAATCGGTTCCCGCGAATGACGTCATACTAGGTCTCGCGTGGCACCTAAATGTCATGGCCGGCTGTAGTCGGCGTAATTGATGTTTTACAATTAAATAGGCAATTTTAATGACAGTATTAATATTTTGATACTTTAACTGGTATAGAACGATATTAAAATAATTGTTTTATCGTAAAATACACAGGAATTGATCGGGTCAAATGTAATTGCAAGTGAAAAATAAGAATAAATCAACTTGTGTTATTCTGGTTAGGTTTCGTAACGGGTCTAATCCAAAACTTTTATGCCGCATCAGATGAAAAACAAAAATGTTAAATAGCGGCTTATAAAGTTTTGGAAGCCAGAACTAAATATTAACATGCAAAATATACCCCCATATTATTTATTTAGGGGGTATATTTGGATATTATCATTAATATTGGTTATTTGATAGAATTTCAAGTTCCTGTGGTCAAACCAATTCATTGAACTTTTACTTCAGCTGATGTCTCAATTCAGTATATATATATATATAAAGCCAATAGCGCATTCACACCCTTAGCTAAAGAGACTTCAGCGCACAGGTTTATAGTAATGGGTCAGTATTAGTTCTGGCATCCAAAACTTTATAAGCCGCTTTTTAATATTTTTCTAGATGCATTCTAATAATTTACATAAGATTTCATTTATTAGCTGATGATGAGAGAGAAATTTTTTTATAACTTTACTGCAAGTTATGGTAGAAAAATCTGTAAGCTGATTGGAAAGTGGCAGTATGGGAATACTGCTATACCAGTTTGCCGACATATAAAGCTATGGAAGCCAGAACTATCTCACCCTTTATAAGGTCCCATTCCCAATCCCAAATAGCCTTTCCCCCCCAACCCTCCCCAATCAAAAGCAAAAATTCCCAGCAGCAGCCAAAAATTCAAAGCTGTTAAACCTTCCTAACTTAACATTTCTCAAATTGACCTAAAAAATGCTGAAAAAAAATTTCAATTTATACTGGGGAGTCTTTTTCCATAATAGCCTGAAAAATCCCTGGCCATCGGGACTTAAGATATATTAGCTTATACTTTATAATTATGTTGTACAGAAAGCTAAACTGATATTAAATATAAATTATCATGTATGTTATGAGTTAATGATCTGTAGGTCTTTATATTATAAAAATATATATAATGGGTAGAAACATACTATAATATATACGATAGTAAAAAAATTTAATGCATGAGAAAAGAAGGTCTGACAATATAAAGTGTAAAAGTTAATGAAGCAATTCCTTTTAAGTCAGCAATTCAGTATTGAAAAACAGTAATGGGCCAAGTATATATGCACATCATTTCTCATTTTCAACTGTAGGTATTCATTTGAAAAAGAATTAAGACACTTTTATAATATGAAAAGACAAAAACAGTTGTTTGCAGAAGCGTTGAAACTTAAGCTTATAAATTGTATGTATGTATGGCAAGAATGATTAATATTTCAACCATAACTGTCTAAATATCATCCTTTACCAGGTTTTACAATTACTAAACATCTTATTTTTTGTTATGAATAAGACATTTTCACTATTTAAAGTTTTAGATATTGCTTTTAATTCTCAACATGTGGTTACCATGGCAATATCAGTAGAATTTTCCAATACTAAGTCCTAAATTATATTTGGGTTTATATAAAAAAGTCTTGACTTTCTTAGCTATGTAACTTGATCCTATTATTGCCCTTTTTATGAATTCTAAGACAGATAATTGTATTTAATACATAATTATACATAATAACATAGAAACCATGGGTTTGAATTTGTTTAGAAAACCTTACAGAAAATACATCCAGGACCATGAGTTAAAGTAACAATCTTTGAAAATTGCATGAATGTTTCACTGAAATTTTAATATCAATTTATAATTATAACCATATTAAGAAAATATTATAAATGAATGTTTAAATGCCTATATTACAGTATTTTAAATAGGCCTCTGTTATATAAGATGAAAAACCCCAGTATCAAATCCTGGGCATGATTCAAGGTCATGCTTGTTAATGATCTGAAAGATGTTAGTTTTTACTTGAGTGAGTAATGAATGTTGGACCATAATGACCATCTTGTCTGCTGTGGTCCTTTTTCTCATCATTTTCTCTTTTAATTTATGTATTTCAGGATTTGCAATATTTCTGAAGACTCAGTTAGAAAGAAACACATTATCAGCTGCAGTTGAGGAGGCGGGGACAGTACGCCAAGGTCTTCCAACGTACACCATGGATGATGTGAGCAAACACAAGACAGAAAAAGACAAGGTTTGGGTGATTTACAATAATGGTGTGTATGATATCACTGATTATATTGCCCAGCATCCTGGTGGAAACAAAATTCTTCTTGGTGCCGGGGGTGATATAGGTCCATACTGGGATATGTATGCCCAGCACAAACAGCCAGAGATGTATAAATTACTGGAAAAATACCGAATCGGAAACATACTGGAACTTCCTAAGAAGAAGGAATCCAGTAAAGATGACCCATATGCCAAGGATCCCAGGAGACATCCAGCATTAATACCAAGTGCAGAGAAGCCATTTAATGCAGAGCCACCAGTCTCGTTGCTAACGCAGGATTTCTTAACACCGAACGACCTGTTTTTTGTACGGAATCACATGCCTGTACCGAATGTTGACATTAAGGACTTCAAACTTGACATCTCTATTGAAGGTAGTAAAAAATCAAAGGTGCTGACATTAGACGTCCTAAAAAAGAAGTTTCCAAGTAAAACTGTGGCGACTACACTGCAATGTGCAGGAAATAGAAGAAGCGATATGGTTGATATAAAACCAGTTCGAGGTCTGAACTGGGGAATCGCAGCTATAAGTACCGCAGAATGGACAGGTGCCACTCTGAATGATGTGCTTCGTTACTGTGGTATTGACCTCGATAAAGTTGACTGTGAACATATTCAGTTTGAAGGGATGGATGCGGGACCAGACGGAACTACGTATGGTGCATCCATTCCAATCGAGCTTGCCAGAGACTTGAAGAATGACATTATTGTGGCGTATAAAATGAATGGTGAAGATATTCCAAAGGATCATGGTTATCCTTTACGTATAATCATTCCAGGAGTTGTCGGAGCCAGGCAAGTGAAGTGGCTAAACAAGATCGTGCTTAGTAAGGACGAGAGTTTCAGTCACTGGCAAAGGCGTGACTATAAAGGGTTTAATTCATCTATTGATTGGCATAATGTTAATTTTGATACATCCCAATCTATTCAGTTCTTGCCAGTGCAGTCGGCAATTTGCGAGCCAGAAAATGGGCAGACCCTGGATGACAATGAAGAGGTCACAGTGAAAGGTTATGCATGGAGCGGAGGTGGGAGAGGAATTTATCGTGTAGATGTATCTGCTGACGGGGGTAAAACCTGGGTTAGTGCTGATATACAGCCTAATGGGCAGAGCCCATATAGGTCATGGGCATGGACATTCTGGGAGGTCACTGTACCTATTCCAAAAGGTCACAAAGGAAAGGTGCAGCTTGTGTGTAAAGCATGTGATTCACAATACAATGTACAGCCAGATAGTGTAGAGGGAATCTGGAATCTTAGAGGGTGCCTTAGCAATGCCTGGCATAGGATTACTGTCAACTGTCCAAAGTAGGGTTGCAATTTTAGGTTTGATTTTTTTTTAAAAATGATATAAATAAGTGCTAAGGAAATTGTTCTTTCAGAAGCTTGTAAAGAGTTACACCCTTTACCAAGGCCTTATTTTTGTGGCCATTTGTTTTAATTAATTTATGAACAAGCTAAACTTAGTAATGTAATGTGATTAATTTCACAATGTTATTTCAAAAGTGATTATTTTGCTACGTATGTTTAGGTGATTATTGTTTATTTTTTCGATTATAAGTGATGATGATGATGATGATGAAAATTGACATTTTACAGTAAAGTCTGGGGACTAGAACAGTATGATAGTCAAGAAATTATTTTAACTAGTTTGTAATAGAGATAGAACACATGAAGAACTTTAAACTAGTCATTTCATTGAGATTTCTTTCATTTCAACAATTGCAATACAAAATCAAAGATGTGTATATAGCTTTTAATATATTTGCAGCTATAAGTGAATTTTGCTCAGTCTATTAACTGGTAACTGTTGCATGGCCATTGTCAATGCATCTGTTTCTCAGTTTAAATGACCTGTGCATGTTTAAGTTGTTTAACATGAACAAAAAGTCATGTGTCTATAATCAAAGATAATCACTAAGATAAAAAAATCTTGTTACTGCATCATACATGTAAAGTCTCCCACACATAGCGGGAAACTCCCACTTTCTGCAGCCATATTTTCAAAGATTTTTCTTTAAATGAGGGGTATTTTCACAAATTAAAGAAATCTACATATTTTTGAAGTCAAAACTTCCTTCTTTGTTTATTGCAAATTCTAAAATCTCCCTCTTTTTGGAGAGAAATCTCCCACTTGATCATCGAAAAATATTCACATGTATGCTGCATCGGTTGGTGACATGTTTTGGTATAATTATAATATGAGTGTAAATAGCTTATCATATTTCTGGCAATATTGTGGCATTTCTGATTATAATCATAATTTGAAAAATTCTTTAAAATACATGTTATGGTCAGTTTCTATGGTAACCATCAAAGATTACATAATATTTATTATGTTACGATCTTTTTAACAAAATGTTATATTTGTTAACTATGTTTGACAAACATAGTGTTTTATTATATTTATATGATTTATTTTTATCAATAATCAGAAACAAGAATCAATAATCAATAGTGCCATTTTATAACACATTTATGCAGTATCTGTACTTTATTGATAATATGATTTTATGATATGTCATTATTATGAGTTGGATTTAATATAGGTGGATAGCAAAATTTATGACTGGCATTAGAATTTGATACACTTTGTAATTTGCCTCAGACAGATACAATATGAAAGATATTGTATTTTACTGTCTTTCTTGTTTTAGATAGTAAGGTACATGATTGTAGGAAAGTGAATAAATGTTATCATCTTTCACATTAGACAATCTTGAAATAGATTTCATGTGTAAATATTATAACTGGTACTTGTACTAAAATTAAAATACTGCCAAAGATGTACACTAGTGTTGCTATTAGTAAGTGCTTTAATAATCTAGTTTAGTTAGGTTAGTAAAACAGGCAGGTAGTTCAGTGGTTACGTACAGTCTGACTCTCCCAGATTTAATCTCTCATTACTTGAACATAACCTATTAAGTCTTGCATCAGACTCTAAAACAAACAGTTGTTTAAATCAGCATAAAAACCCAGAAATACAAGTGACAATAATTATTGCTTACTTCTGGAATGTAGAATATTAATGAGCCACATCATGACAAAACCAACATAGTGGGTTTGCGACCAGCATGGATCTAGACCAGCCGGCGCAAATGCTGTTCGCTTACAAACCCTATTACAAGTAGAGAAACTGATAGCGAACAGCATGGATCCTGATCAGACTATGTGGATGCGCAGGCTGGCCTGGATCCATGCTGGTCGCAAACCCACTATGTTGGTTTTGTCATGACACGGCTCAATTTTAGTTTAAGACAGCACAGTTACATGGAGAGATCAGTGTGTCTGAGTAGTTAAGGTCACTGACTTCAAACCACTTGTCCCTGATTGTTGTGGGTTCGAATCTCACAAGTGACTTAAATTTTGACATGTGTGGAAGCTGTCGGGTGATTCTGCTCTGGTCCTCGCTTGTGTCTGAAATTATTCATTAAGTGCTGTCTGAGGTCTTCCTCCACCTGTAAAGATGGAAACTTTGGAAAGTCATATGACCTTTATAGTGCCATAGTGACTTAAGCCCAACCAAAAAGAAATGAAAGAGATGAACAGAAATTTTTTGAATTATATAGAAATATCTTCTTTCACTGAATATGAAGTAATTTTAGTAAAAACAAAGCAAGAAATTGTGGTTTAGTGGTTAAGGTGTCTGCTTCTCAACTTGGGGATGGTTGATTTGATTCCTACTTGGGTTTTCACCGTGATTCCACAATGGCACTTATACTGCCGAGCCACATGAAAGATGAAAGTTAATTATCCCTTAAAAAGTGTCTGCATCTCAACTGGGGGAAGAGTATGTAGCTTTCTTTTATCTCTTATGAATAATGTTCTTGCCTTTTGGTACAATGGTACTTAAAGTATTGTAAATATTTGAGTTTTATCAAATCTTTGGGATTTATTTTTTGTGTAATCTGGTTTTATTTTATTGTTTTTTGAGAGGGTTAAATTGTTATTGTATAAGATATATTTTATATATGGTATAAGATATGTGTATATTTATATGGACAATCCACTGTAAGCTTTGTTTATATTTTATAAGGAATGTGTGTCAAGGTTAACAGTTTGGTCATGTTTTCACAGTTGTAATCAGTGTATGTATTTTATTTATTACTATCATAAAACTGTACTTCAATCACTGCAAAGCTTGCGGCAATAATGGTTTGGTTTTGTCACATTTAATCCAGTCCTAGACTTCAGTTTACATTTGAAAGCCGTAACAAAGTTGTCTTATGACATTTTACAGCAAGTGTGACTTAAAACCCAACAAAATAAACTAAAGCTTTTATCTGCTGTATATCATGGATTTGTCGATCTAGTTTCATGCAACAAACCATTTAAAAGTATTAATTGTAGAGATTTGGGGATGGAGAATTTCAAATTGATCATTCTAAAATTCAAGATCTTTGTCAGACTTTATGTCTAAGATGACCTAGCTCTACTAGTGACAAAGGGTTTGTAGTTAAGATTTCAGATTTGCTAGGGGAATAAGTAACTATTGAGTACATGTTAAAGGTAACCACAGCCTAACCATCCCTGGGGAAATGTGCAGACTCTGACTAAAGACTTTCAAATCACTGAATAAGGCCTTGCCTCACAGGGACTTACAGCTTATAAATTCCCTGCTAAAAGCCCCTTACTGCAAGTTTGGCATATTTTGGCCATTTTGTATCCAAAACAAAACCACAGCATTGTCCAAGCAGTGTGGGGACAAACAGAAGGTAAAAGCCCTGCACATTCCCCCTCGCTATCCCCAAACATTTCCAATGTGAAGGGTTGCCATATTTACAATATATTGTGACTTTATGTGATTATTTAAAACAGCATTGTATGTCTGCTTTAAATACAATGTGTACAGATATAATCTGTATACAGATTGAATGGTTTTAATTCTTATGAATACACAGTATTGATAACTAATTTTTAAAAGTTATTAGTTTTACCTTTCATAATCTTTTGATCATTTTTGGAATAATTTGCAACATATTTTTTCTCCATATACTTTATAAAGAACGTTGTGATTTGATATGGCATGTTAGAATCTGCTAATAGATATTGATGTTTCCATAGCAAACTGGCAATGTTTAATTTACAAGATCTAGTGAGAACTAGAAAATATATGTCTTTATTGTAGGGCAGTGATTTAAGAACTTCAAAACATTGTATGTTGTTTATGAAACATTTTTATGTCATTTATTAAACATGCTACACATTAAGCATTAAAAATGGTAGATGTTGTTTGTGAAACATTTAACATTGTGTTTATGAAACTTGATACATGTTGTTTATGAAACAAGCTACATATGGTTTATTGTTTATATGTGTTTATTGAACATGCTACATTTTGTTTATGAAATCTATTGTTTATGGAACATGTTACATGTTGTTTATGAAACGGGCTACATGTTTATGGAACATGCTGTATGTTGCTTGTAAAACACATTGTTTATGAAACATGGTAGATGTTATTACATTACAGATTGAACATGGATACCCTTAAATTCAAAGAAAGGACTCTAGATCCCTTACAGGGTAAAGATAATACAAAGTATGTGTTTGAAACTAAATATACATCACATATGTTGTTTACTAAATGTATGTTGTGTATGAAACTAAGTGTGTGTTGTTTCCAAAGCATAGTGCAGTATCTTGAATAAGAATAAAATACAATGTTGTAATTACAAAATGAAACATGGTACTTGTTGTTTCTAAAATGTTGTTTAAAATGTTGTTAATGATAGAAATTCTGTTGCTTTAAATTAAGAAAAAAAACCCACAAAAGCAATGTTGCTTATGAAACATTGTACATCGTGAGATATTATATACATGTATTTATTTGAACAAATTAAGTACTGTATACTATTTTAATTAAACTCATCCTCTCTATCTAAAATTTTGATATATTTTAATATTATTGTTAATATATAGGTAGAAATACAACGAAATATACTTGTTTTAAATTGTTAGACATTTAACAGTCTGTGTACATGCAATTGCAATGGTTTTGTTGTGCAAATTTTCACAAAGTGAGCATTTGTTGTATTATTCTGTACTTTGCATTATAATTAATTAAATAATGTTATGTCCTTTCGTGAAATAAAGCCTAAAACAAATGACTACTGTCACTTTATGTACACATAAAGTATACTTGTTTATACTTATAACTTACATACAGCATTAAAACAGACTGTTTAAACCAGTTTTTGATGCACTGATTATTTAAAGGCCCATTATGCCTCAGCAATGCTGTCAAAAACTATTTATTGTTTGTATCTTTTAACAGTTTCCAAAAAATACTCATTTACCACATAGATGAACTAACTTTTGATTCATTTGCTTTGTTGGCAATTGGTGCAACTATAGTGAATTAGTATTTTGTATGTTACACAGATTTGACATTTCTAAAGACTTTAAAATTCATGTGTATATATTGATTTCTGAGGCATAATGTCCCTTTAAAGTGTCAGAGTGCACAGTCGTTACAGTAAGAAAGATATGAAATATAACTGAAGTCTGCATACCCTGAAGTGTATTACACATTTAAAATATTCAGCCCAATTGTTCAACCTATGTTGAGATAGAAAAAATACTTCAGTATGATGGATAAAGTAGCCTTGATCTTAAGGTTGAACTTGATAATCTAAATGAAATAATAGTGTTGTAAGTAAAGATGTAAACAAGTCATAGCCGTTTTATTCAGTATTTAACCATTGTATAATTTATTAATAGATATATAGTAATGTCTTAATTGCGGCGTTGTACACGTTGTATGTGACCATACTGCGATGCAATGGTGTCCTTATGGCGAACCAATTGCGCCTTAAGAAAAAGCCGAGAGACATTGTTTTTCGGATGCGCATGCGATCCCAAACCGCCTTGTTTTGATGTAAAGGAGTTCATTCGGTGAAGTTTGCAATCGTAAAGCCAACACCTCGACGTTTTTATGCAAGCCGTGATAACGCGTCTACCCAGTGACCCGATTTGTGCTTTGAATTTGAACAGGCCTCTATGTGCGGCAATAGAAAGCA